TGTTTACATAAACTTTTCTTTTAGTCCTTCCTCAGTATTGGTGCCTGTAGACCATGTGTGCGTGATTGTAGCTTTTTATTAACTTGCTTTTATTTTGCATTTGGGAAGTCCGATGTTTGTACCCCCACACCATGTCTAAGATGGTTCACGTTTACCAAAGAGAAGTAAGGGGAGGGGGTAATAGCAGATCCTTCACCCCTGAAGTGCAAGTGTATATTTTCCCCCCATAGTAGTTGGCGGGAGATGCAGTAAAGAGGTGAAGCCTTAAAGCAGTAATGCAGTCAAAGCTTAGTAAAGTAAAGGTAAAGGTTCCCTTGCTCGAAAGCCAGTCGAATCCGACTCTAGGGTTGCAGTGCTCATCTCCGTTTCAAAGCCGAAGAGCCAGCGCTGTCCGAAGACGTTTCCGTGGTCATGTGGCCGGCATGACTAAACACCAAGGCGCACGGAACGCTGTTCCCTTCCCACTGAAGTGGTACCTATTTATCTACTTGCAATGTCTTGCTTTCGAACGGCTAGGTTGGCAGGAGCTGGAACTAGAGACAGGAGCTCACTCCGTCATGCGGCACACTCGGGGCTCGAACTGCTGAACTACCGACCTTCCACAGCCTGCAGTTCAGCCAGCAGGAGAGAACAGTTTGTGGTGCTGGTTACTTTACTTGGGAGGAAGGGATGCAGTAGAGATGCTGGGCAGAGACCTGGGGCAGCCACAGATTTTTCTGATCTTCCAGGGACTTGAAGGTACCGGGGGGGGGGGAGGGGTTGCAAGTCCATTCCTCCACACCCTCAATTGTTTTATAGATGGAAGTAAGGACACTGTTGTGACACATTTTAAAGAATCACTGTGGGAAACCCATTTAAGCTTGTCCTGTATTACACAGTGCAGGAGGCTTTCTTCGGCAGCCGTTCATTACTCTTTCCTGCGCTGGCTGCTAAAGTGAGATCCATTAGTAGGTGGATTACTGAAGACCTTTTTATTTCCAAACATATTTATGTATAACAGAACATTTAGCCTTGCGGCCGTACGTGTTGTAGAGTAGCTGTAACACAAGCATACTTGGCTGCATTTCCTAACAAACAGCTTAACAGTATTTTGTGTTCAGACAAAAGAATCAACTTAGCAACTGCCTGGTCAAGTGATTTATGGACAAAATGAGCACTTATCCTCTCAGTTAAAGGAATCTTAGAAACAGGAAATTATTCTATAATGCATATATCATGCATGAAAACACAAAATGGAGCTGAACAGCTCTTAGTCACGATGGTCCGGAGGGAATATAGTCCCATGACTCAGTGGCAGAGCGTTTTCTTGGCATGCAGAAGGTCCCAGGTTCAATCCCCGGCAACTCCAGGTAAAGGGAAGAGCTGGCAGCTGGTGTGAGAGACGCTGGAGAGCTGCTGCCAGTAAGACTAAGAGAGACATACATTGATAGACTTCTTCATGTGTTCAAATCTTCTGAGTACTGGACCCCTTGGGGACATTCAGTAGGCGAGGGCTGATGTCGATCGGTGGGCTTCCCAGGGGTCCCTGGAGATCCATGGCTGGAAATAGGATGCTGGACTCGATGGATCTTAGTCTGCTCCCACCAGATTATTCTTGTGTTCTTAAACTGCAGCCTGGTTTGTTTGGCATCATTCCTTTGGGTGACTCAGTCCTGGCAAGCTGCCCGACTCCTTCCGGTCAAGAGTCTTTTTGTGCTTCTCTTCACAGACTGCAGGCTCCTTTGGGATTACGTCTATCAGCTGCTGTCCGACAGCCGGTACGAAAGCTTCATCCGATGGGAGGACAGGGAATCCAAGATATTTCGGATTGTGGATCCGAATGGGCTGGCCCGGCTCTGGGGGAACCACAAGGTAAAGAGCGACCTTGCCTTGGTACTTTCAGGTGTTGCTGAGTTACAGTGTTTGCCAGCGTTGCGAAGCAAAGCAAGAGAGAAACATGTTCAGAGAAGGGCTTATTACACGGAAACAATCTCCTGCCCCTTGGAGTCCCTCCAAGATACACGCTCTCCTCCCATAATGGGGATGGCCACGGCCATTTTGTTGGCAGAATACTCTTGCCCTCTCGGAGATGAGCGTGGTCTGTAAGAGTCAGGACTGGCCAAGTGCAGTAGTCTTTCCCAGTGCTGGCCTGGAGACATTAAGCGCTCCTCGAAACATGCAAATGGTTCAGAAAGCCATTTTTGCCTCATCAAAACAGTGTTTTCCCTGGGGAGTAAATGGCAACAATGGAAAGAAAGTCAAAAGGTGAGCTCTGGAATATTGTCCCGCCGCGGGCTCCTCCACGGCCTTTCAGGCCGCTGCGGCAGGACTGGCACTACCCGCGCCGAGCTCCCCGCAAGTCCCAAGGCGGGAGAGTGGACTCGGGAAGCCCCGGAACCCCGAACCCCTCCCTCAGCGTCCACAACGAATGGCGCTACCAGTGCCGTACTCCCCGCATGTCCCACAGCAGAATGGTGGACTTGGGAATCCCCCGAACCCCTCCCTTACCACCCCCAACGACACGGGAGAAGCCTGAACGGGGAGCAGTTGGGGAAATGAAATAGCCCGAGACAAGGACAGGGGAGGGCCCGGTTGAAGGAACCCTAACCCTTGCCTTATCCTGGAGACATGCTGGCGGAGGCCCCGTCACGTCACACAGACCGGAAGTGGGCACTCCCTTCCATACACAGCACTGGGTTATGCAGAGAGGTCGGTCCACAGAGAGGAAGTCACTGGTGATAGGGCATCATGGTGATGGACAGATGGTGTAGCCTGTAAGATGCTGGATCACTGAAAGGGGTGGTACAAAGGGGGGAGGAGAGGATATATAAAGGAGGAAACTACAGAGTGCTGGGGAGGAATTGAGGACGGATCTCAGGGGCGATACAGAGAGACTGGAGATCTGTCCGAGGAACTTAGCTCTTCCAACATCTGAGGCATTCGTTTCCTCCCTCCCTTTTCAACACGGCTACGGGGTTTACCCCGCCCGGGGCCGACCCCGAGCGTGACAAATATATTAGGGGGACTAAGCCTGCCATCCATATCTCGGTGACCCCAGCCTGGAAGAATCAAGCCTGTTCCCGTCTCTGGTGCCTCATCCCAAGTCTGGCTTCTTGGCCTTGCTGTCGTGTGAATCCAGAGTGGGACCGAACCTTGAGAACTGGGTTAAGAGAACCTGGTAACCTAATAGAGATGCAAGCCCAACACTGTCTGTCCCATACGTTGAGGGAGGGCTTATTACAGGAACTTTTGCCATCTCTGGTTTTGTGACTCAGGATTTCACTTATTCGCAGTCCGGTCATGTGACCTCTCCAGCCTGTTTTCCCTCCTACCATGCCGTCATTGTCATCACGGCATCATACCTCCTGTAAGCCGCCCTGAGCCCGCGTAGCAGGGAGGGCGGGGTATAAATTGAATTAAATAAATAAATAAAACTCTGCAGGGAATTTGATTGTGCTGCTACAGAGAGGCAGCAGACCCCTTCGTCCCAGTTCTTGTTCGCTTTGCCATTCGTGGTGGTCCTCTGGAATGGAGCCCCATGAATGGTGAAGGTCTGCTTCATTGCAGAGACCTGGGGAAGGGGCTAGCCGCATTCGTATGCATTGCATTGCACCTTCCTGCAGGGCCCTGCACCCAGTAAGCCAGTAGAATCAATAGAGGGCAGAAGTGTACTTTCCCCCAGTGGCCATTCACCTTTTTAAAAAAGAAAAAAAAAATCAAAATTTTATTATATTATTAAAGTACATATATAAATGACAGAGGCATAAGTAAATGAAAAGATAAAGGCATTAAGTTACAATATAATGCCTAGTGCAGCAAGTTAACTATCAACAGATAAACCTAAGGGATACAGAACTTGCAACATCGGTAAGAGAAGAATCTTGCTTCAAGAGGGAATTAGATAAGCATATGGCGCAGAAGTCCATCAGTGGCTATTAGCCCCAAGGGGAGGGCGGGATATAAATCAAATGAATAATAAAATAAAGGTATAGATAGGAACTCTCGGTCTGGGGCAAGTGATGCTCTGCATTCTTGGTGCTGGGGGGGCAACAGTGGGAGGGCTTCTAGTGTCCTGGCCCCACTGGTGGACCTCCTGATGGCACCTGGTACTTCTGGCCACTGTGTGACACAGAGTGTTGGACTGGATGGGCCACTGGCCTGATCCAACATTGGTGTCTCTTATGTTTTTATGACCTCCTGATGGCACCTGGTATTTTTGGCCACTGTGTGACAGAGTGTCGGACTAGATGGGCCATTGGCCTAATCCAGCATTGGCGTCTCTTATGTTCTTATGTTCTTATGCTGTGCATTGTAGTATCTCAAAGGTAACTCAGACTAATCACTGCCTGCAGAGTAGTGCGTGTACCATGAAAACAAAAAGTAAACATTGAAATTAAAGGTAGGAAGGGAAGGCTGTCAACTTATCGAGGTCTGAATTGCTGGCAATTTCAGAGGGTGCTTTAAAAGTGAATCCATGCACGGGAAGTAGTATTAGATTGCAGAAGATCCTGACCTCAGCAGGGTAGAATGCCGTAGAGCCCCCCCCTCCAGAGCAGCCCTTTTCTCCGGGGGAGCTGATCCGTGTAGTCTGCCGATCAGTTGTAATACCAGGAGCCGTGCTGCCTCTAAGCCGCGGAGTCTTGTGAGCAAAAAGTCTACCTTGTGAGCTACTGGCATTAAAGTTGTGAGCGAGTGACTTGGCTACTGTCTAAATTAGTTAGCTCTGGAGCCCTCCTTCCTGAGCAAAGACACAAATATGTGAGCCAGAGGCTGAAAAGCTGTGAGCCGGCTCACACTGACTCAGCTCAGAGGGAACACTGACCAGGAGATCTCCAGGCCACAGCTGGAGGTGGCCAACCCTCACAGGCCATGGTGCATTTTGGAACAAGGGCAGGAAATTTTTTTAGAAACCCTAATAAAACGGGCTTTTGTATGGGTAGATAGCGACACAGTACCAGTGTTTCACGCTGTCAAGAACATAAGTAGAGCTTGCTGGATCAGAGCAGCAGTCCGCCAGGTTCAGCGTACTATTTCACACCGTGGTCACCCATTTGCCTTAGGGGGTCGTAGCAAACAGGGCTGAGGCCCTCCCCTGTTCCTGCCTGTTGGCACTGGTATTCACCAAACTGCTGCCTCTATAGACTATGGAGGCGCTTTTCAGTCACCGTGGCTTCTGTGTCTCTTCCCCTTTCAAAGCCGTCTGTGCTTGTGACCGCCACTACCTCCACTGGCAGTGAGTTCCACAGTTTAATTACTCCTTGAGGAAAGAAGTATTTCCTTTTGCCTGCCCTGAACCGATTTCCCAACCATTTCACTGGATGCCCCCAGGTTCTGGTATTGTGGGAGAGGGAGAAAAGGCCATGTCGATCCACTTCCTCTGCTTCACGCATAATTTTATAAATCTCTACCATGTCTTCTTTTAGCTGTCTTTTTTCCCCCTAGTCTGAAAAGTCCCAGACTCTCTTCATAGGAAAGGTGCTGCAATTCCCCCTAATCGTTTTTGTTTCCCCCTTTCGTACTTTTTCCTACTCTGTAATATCCTTGTTGGGATACGACAACCAAAACCGCACACGGTATTCCAAATGAGACCACACCATAGCTTTATGTAAGGACATTACAATATTGGCCATTTTATTCTGAATCCCTTTCCTGATCATTCCTAGCACGGAGTGCGCGCGTTCCACTGCTGCCAGACGCTGGGTTGAATTTTTCATTGAGCTTTCCACGGCAACCCCAAGATCTCGTTTAATCTCAGCCTCAGCCGGTTCAGACCACACCACTATAGATATATAGATATATTTTCCAGTAGGCATCACCTTATACTTACCCAGGTTGAACTTCCATTTGCCACATTGGTGCCCACTCACCTCGTTTGGATACGTCCTCCTGGACCTCTTCACAATCCCCCTTGGTTTTCACCATCTTGAATAATTCATTACCCTAATTCATACCTGGCCATGACCCTGCTTACCCCCAACTCTGAATCATTCATGAACAAATTGAATAACACTGGTCCTCATACCGGCCCTTGTGTAATCCTACTGTTTGCTTCTCTCCATTGCAAGAACTATCCATTTATTCCTGTGCTCGGATCCCTGCCATTTAACTAATTTTTAATTCATAAGAAGACCTGTGCTCTTATCTAATGATTGCTAAGCTTACTCAAGAGGCCTTGGTGAGATACCTTGTCAAGACATTGGGGGGGGGGAGGACTGGAGGTGGAGGGGAAATGAATGTGACCTTTCTGCTGTTTTCTTTTCATTGTTATGTTTTAATTCCTGCTTTGTGCTTTTTCTTTCCCTTTTGCTTTGAAATGCACAGAACAGAACAAATATGACGTATGAGAAAATGTCTCGAGCCCTGCGCCACTACTATAAACTAAATATTATCAGAAAAGAACCCGGACAAAGGCTTTTGTTCAGGTAAAACTTCCTCATTTTTCTTCCTCGTTCTTTGGGGGATTTTCTTTTTCTGAATTTCCTTATGGAAAGGTTTGGAGGAAGTTATGAAACGGAACGGCTTATCCTAGAGCGATGAAGGTAACCTGGCTGAAATGTGAACTTCCCAGCGTCTGAGAGAGTTGTGTTGCTTTACTGTCCAGGTCCCCAAGTTTGCTAGAGTATTTTGACTGTTCAGCCAGACAGTTTGCCCCTGGGGTGACTACCCGCCTGAGACTGCTGTTCACTTGAGGCGAGTGACAAATTGCAAGACGGCATTGAAAGAAGTGAACAGTGAGAGCCAGTTTGGTGTAGTGGTTCAGCGTGCGGACTCTAATCTGGGAGAACCGGGTTTGATTCCCCACTCCTCCGCTTGCACCTACTGGATGACCTTGGGCAAGCCATAATTCTGATAAGAGCTGTTCTTGAAAAAGAGCAGTTTCTGTCAGAGCTCTCTCAGCCCCACCTACCTCACAGGGTGTCTGTTGTGGGGAGGGGAAGGGGAAGGAGTTTGTAAGCAGCTCTGAGACTCCCTTGGGTAGCGAGGGGCGTTGTATAAATTTAATCTCTTCTTCTACCTCCAACCCACCCTGGCCAATGGAGCAAGGAGTTCAGTGTAATATTTCATCTCTCTCACTCTGTTCCTGTACAACTGTGGGATCAAAGGAGTTCAGAACCAGTCGAGGTCATCAGAAAACACTGCTCTTTAAGTTTTGTGGCCAAGTTTTGTTTGGAAGAAGAGGGGGGGTGACAGTGTCCTCCTAAGCAAAGTGACACCCTTACAAGTCTATTAACGTCAATGAAGGACGTCACTCACACTGTCAGAGACCTGTCTTGTTGTCAGCAAACAACTGGACAAACACACAGTGCCAGTTAGATGTCTGATTCCTTTTTAAGTGCCTCTCTGCCACTGAGGTGGCGACAGAGGGAGAGTAAGGTGTTGTCTTTGGATCACCAGCTGATTTTTGGTTTGCTAGCTGACAAAGTAAGTCTTGACCTTAGTTGGCCACACTCTGATAAACATCCAGGGTGGACTGCTGTGATGCACTCTGATGAGGCTGTCCCTGAAGACATTTCAGGGAGTCTTCAAGCACTTGGTGGGCCACAGTACTTGGACTGGTGGAACTACTGTAAGGTTTTGCAGGCCTTTCTTACTATATAAGAAAAATGAACTTTTTCAAAACTGGTGGCTGAATCACTGATGGAAGCATTTTTAAAAGATCTCAATCAAAACCAAAGTAGAGTATTCAAAAACCCTGACAAAACTGAATCAGTTTTTAAATCGTCCAATTCCCTGGCTACCTCTTTGGTCTTCTGTCAGGCAGTAGCTGCCTTTGGGAAGGTCAAGGAGCATCAATTGGTTGCTTTCCCCCCTGCTTACACCGAGGGCTAGGGAAGCATTTCTGAGTAATGGTGGAGACCTCTCTGTGACTTACTAGAGTGACTCTTGGGGCTTTTCCTCATTCTCATTTCCCTTGCTTGTAAGTTCCTGTTTCTTTTGGGGGGAGGTCTGTTCGGCACTGTTTTTGCTCCCTCTAGTGGTTGATTTGATATTACACCAGTTTACGTCCAGCATAAAACCCTGCAGTTTAAATCTGCAGGGAGATATGCCGGACATAAACGGGTGCAATATCAAATTGACCTCTAAAGGGAGCAAAACACATGCAGAACAGAAACACCACCCCCACCCCTGAAGAAACAGGAACTTACAAGTGAGGAACATGAGAATGGAGAAAAGCCCTTCGTTTATAAATATGAAGGATTCTGTCTCTCTGTATCAGTGTCGGAGCCTTTCTTGCCTTCAAACAGTGGAATTGAAATCAGTTGCAAGAAGACTTGTAAAAGAAGTGGAGCGTGACAGAACCCTCTCTGAAGTTAATGGGGGAGAAATATGATGTTTTCCACCAGTGGGATAATATAGCATACATGTCTCATGTCACCCTGCATATATTTATTTATTTATATATGCACCCAATATGCATTCTGAGCAATCTTGTTCAAGAACTGTTGCCCAAAATTGGAAGGGAATGGTCTTAACCAAGTCTACTCAGAACCTTAGTACTTACTCCTGGTGAAAAATGATCAAGAGCTTGGAGTGCCGTATGAAGGAATATAGATCCAGGCGGTCAGCCGTGTTGGTCTGAAGCAGTAGAACAAATTTAGAGTCCAGTGGCACCTCTAGGACCATCCACCTCAAAAAAGGAACAAATGCTGTGAAGTGACCTCCACCTCCAGAGGGGAGTGAATGGAGACTCTCAGACCTATTCTGACATATTCATTGTTTTACCACTGTTGACCTTATAACCTTAGCTTGTGATTTAGCCGCCTTTGCATATCTTAAAGCATCTTCATCATGTTACATGTTAATTTGTTGTTCAGCCCATCTATAAGTCTGAACCTTACCTCCCACTTCATTGTATCTGAAAAGGTGTGCCTTGCACATGAAAGCTCATACCTTGAATAAATCTGTGTTGGTCTTTGTGGAGAAACGCCATTTTATGTATACATTTAAGTTGGTGTGGGCCAGATAGGAGGGGACCATGAAACCTGAGGTAGGCCTTGGCCTAGCCTCCTCTTCATTCCCCCCCCCCTCCTGTCTCCAACCAGCAGTCAGAGGGCAGCTCCCTAGAGAGGGCAGGAAGTCCGTCAAGGCTGTGAGGAGATCTGCCCCAGAATGCTGCTGGACGGAGAGCGACTTCCTGGGTGGGAAGGGCTGTTTGATATAGTGGAGCTTTTGGGCGGGAAGCCAGTCTGTGAGAATTGAGGTTGGTCTGCCTGAAGTCTGGAGCCAGTCAGGCTGTCGGCTGGAGACTGCAGGAGGCAGAGGCCATGTTGGGAGTTGTGCTAATCTAACTTCCTCCATTGAAAGCGAGTCATGTGCCTGCCCTGCAGACTATCTAGACAGGGTATGTGTAGTGAAGGGAGAGATGGAGCGATTTATTATCCACCTTTATTTTGATTCTTCAGTTCACTGTTAATATGCCTGTATATAGTTGAGTGGTTTCAAAATAAATCTTTTTACTGTTGATATTGAGAAGTCCCTCTGTGCCACATAGTTCCCCCAGCCGCTTGGACACGCTAGGAGTGGGTTGGGGACTCCCTGAGGAGGAAAACAAGGGCAAAATGGTCAGTTGCCAACTCTCCAGGGGAGCCCCAAAGATAACCAGGAAGCCCCGAGGTGGGTTCCTAGCAACAGCAGAGGGAGGTTAGGAGGCTGTCCCGCCTAACCAGAGCCCAAGACAGGGACAGTGGTGGCAGCAATACCCGGAGGCAGTGGTGAAAAACTGCCCCTTCAGGTGCCAGGTCAGGCAAAGGAAGGGTGGGCAGAGCGGGGTCTGCCAGCTGATGTGGGCCCGTTTCGCCACAGTCTTCAAGGTGCCCCACTGGACTCAAACTTTGTTCTAATGAAGGAACAGTTAGATTTGAGTCCAGTAGCATCTTAGACACCAACCAGATATGGAGGGTCTTGACTTTTGAGCGTCAAAGCAGGGGCTTTTTGGCTGCATGGGGGCTCATATCCAGGTCCCTCACCCCGGTCCAAATCCGACAGCCACAACCACACACTGACTGTCACCTGAGAGAAGCAACCTGCACTTGGGGCCAAGGCAGTCAGAGACCTGATGACCAGAGAATCCTCTTTACTGCCCCTCTTTCTCCTCATCCACTGGTTTCCTGGGACAGATCCTCTGTTGCTTGCTGCATCTCTTCTCAACTAGTTGATTCTGAACAGGTTTCTGTTGATTCTGAACAGGTGTAGTGGCAACTAAGATATTCCAGGTTCAAGTTCACTGGGGAGAAAACCCACTCTCAACTGGTTTTGGGGTTCCAGTGTGGTTGAACCCCCTGGAGGTCACACTCAGCCAAGGCACCTCTCCCATCACTTGGTTGCCTAAGAATTCTGAAATCAGGCCCGTAGCTATCGTGGGGCATCTCGGGGCTAGGCCCCCTGAGTTACTGGCAAGGCCCCACGACTTCCCATCCAGCCCAGGGCCCCCGAGCAGTGGTGGATGCAGGGAAGGAGCTGGATATTCCTTTAATTTGATTAGCCAGCCCCCCCCTGAAATTTAAATGTCCCCCGACTTAAAACATCGTGGCTATGGGCCTGTCTGAAATGTGCAATTACGTTCCCCTCCCAGAGGACGCTACTCCAGAGACCCAGCGCACACATGAAATGGACGTCCAAACCTGGTTTTCTTGTATATGATTTTGGGTGTCAGAATTCGTCTTAACATTTTTGGTGCAACGTTTAGAACACAGTGGTGTTGCTCTCATTTTTTTCCTGGGCCCAATCAAAGGCCAAATCAAGGCAGCAGTAGACATCTGATAGATGTAATGTAACACCAGCTAGCACCTCCTGTCCACTTTCCCATTCAGATCGAAGAGATGTCCACAGGTCAGTCAACAGCCCCCCACACCATTCACAAAATCGCTTTCCTGCAGCCCAGTGGACTCCCCATTGTCCAGTGTGAAAGAGGAGGAGTCTCAACCCTCCCTTGTCAGGCTGGTTTGCCAAGGACCATGTTGTTCATCACATTTAAGGGAGGGGCCACAGCTCGGTGGTAGAGCATCTGCTTGGCATGTAGAAGGTCCCAGGTTTAATCGCTGGCATCTCCAGATCAAAGGATCACGTTGTAGGTGATGTGAAAGACCACTACCTACACTTACAGTTAGATTTATTTTGATACAAAATCAGGTCTGGAGAGTCAGCAATAATAAAAAAGAAGGTGACAACATGTAGTGCAATAAGCACAGAACAATGAGCGCAGATTGAGCAGGGAGACGGAAAAGACAACACCCTCTTCCAAAGGACAGGCAGAGTTATTGGGGCTCAGTCAGCCACTTGCGTATCCCCCACGCCCACGGACAGAATTTGACAACTTTATTAGTTACCACCTGAGAAGAGTCTGCAAGGAGGAGAGAGACATAAAGTTGTTCAGGTCTTCCCGGTAGAGTTGATAGAACTGGAGCGATATACTGATGTCGGATGTCATTGTGGAATGAGCAGTGCGGCAGAACCTGTTCAGTAGACTCTACTTTCACTGTATGACATGGACAAAGCCATTGAGGGAGTGGGACACGATGGTAGCTGTCTTCCAGAAGGGCTTCATGGGGGAATTAGATAAACATGCGGAGCAGAGGTCCATCAGTGGCTATTAGCCACAAGGTATAGATAGGAACTCTCAGGCTGGGGCAAGTGATGCTCTGTATTCTTGGTGCTTTGGAGGGGGCAATAGTGGGAGGGCTTCTAGTGTCCTGGCCCCACTGCTGGACCTCCTGATGGCACCTGATATTTTTGGCCCCTGTGTGACAGAGTGTTGGACTGGATGGGCCATGGGCCTGATCCAGCATTGGCTTCTCTTATGTTCTTATGAAGGTAGAGCATTAAAGCGTGCCAGGATAAAAATGCTCAGAAATGTGGAGATCTCAAAGGATCTAAGAGAATCTGCTGGTTGAAAACATTTGGCACGCTGCGGGATTTGTTATTTCCCCAAAGGCTTTCAAAAAGATTGGGGTGTTCTAAAAATGGCGATGTTTGAGGTGAAAAGTTGGAATGCAGCAGCCAGCTCTAGTCGATCAGGCAACCAAGGAGTTTCTTAGCAGCTTTTCAGGAATTTCCCCGTGAGAAGATGATTGGTGATGGGCCGGCTTGCCCACCGCCATGACCCCCTGCAGGGGACACTTCAGGGGGGGGGCTTCATGGGCCTGGCTGCTGCCCCCCCCCCCCCCGTGAATTGACTCTGCCTCCCCAGAATCCTCTGCAGTGATCAGGATTGTACGACTGATACCCAGGGATTATCTTGGCAGATAAGCGGCCTGAAATAGACTTCCCTGAAGGCAGAAAATCTGAAATCCACAGTGTTGGAGAATCCAAGTTGTCTATTATCTAATGAATAGGCCACTGTATTAGTAACAATTATAATGTGCTACTTTTAAACAGTAATAAAGAGAGATGGGAAAAAATGCAGATACAAATTAAAAGCAACCTGACATCTAACTCTGGTCTCAAGAGTGTCTGTGTGCATATTTCCATTTTTGTTGTTGTTGTTTTGCAGGTTCATGAAGACCCCGGATGAAATTATGAGTGGCCGCACCGATCGCCTGGAACATCTTGAATCTCAGGAACTGGATGAGCAAATATACCAGGAAGAGGACTGCTGAAGGATCCAACGCCCCCGCTTCACTTTGTTCTGTGGAGCACAGTCGGTGTGGAGGCCCGTTTGGGACAGGAAGTGAAACCCCAGGACTTAGCCTTGACCCTGGTGACTGTGCAGGACTCCCCCCTCCCCAAGCACCTTAGCAAAACCAATCTATTGGCAAGGACAGTGTTGGCCCCAGGATTTGGAGGAGAGAGCAAGAAACACAGAGCACTGCTGCATTGGTTCTTAGAGTCTCCCCTGCTCCCAGTTGGGGAGGGGGTATGGTTGGTTGGTTGGTTTGGGCTTTTCTTTTCTATTTAACATGCCATTTTGCCTTTTTAAGTGACTTTTGTAGGGCAAAGTGTCAGTTTTTTGCTTATTCCAAAGGCTTCCCTATGGAAACATAGTGCAACTGTTTTCAGCACTGGTCTCACATTATCCCAACATAGGAGCAATGACAAATGTCACAGCAGGGGTCAGAAAGTATCTCCAGTTGCCTTGCTGATGCTTGATCTTGCCCCCCAAAGTAGCTTAGGCTGCAATCCTCTGATCAGGGTATGAGAACCAGGGCAATGCCCTCCATCTTGTTATAAGTCTGAGAGGCCTGATTGGTATTATCTTGAGCTGACCTGGAGTCCTGGAAGAGTCAGCAAACCCCAAGTGCTCACTGGCCTTATCCAGACACCTATGGGAGATAAGGAGAACAAAACGCGGTAGACTCCTCCAAGCTTTTGGGCGGTCCTTTCAAGTTGACGGGAGGGATAAATGAAGGTGGTGGGATGGAGTTTTGGGCCAACCATTGAGCCATTGGGGTTGATATATTTGCAGTGGCAAGAGGGAAGTTTGTCCTCTCTGCCAGCCGCTCCGAGAGTGAAGGTATTGCTCACGAAAGGAGAAGGGAAGACCACTTAGCCTTTTGAGAGGCACCTCCCAGAAAGAGTCTCCCCATCTCTGAGAGGCTGTCAGTGTCATCACAGCTGCCGGGGAAGCCACCAGTCAAATTGTTGGGCTGATCTTTGTCGTGGGTCCCCCCTCCCCCCAGTACAACAACGTAGTTTTCTGGTCTCTTGATCCCCTTCTTCATAATGATGGAATTGCATTCTTCCCCTGTTAGGTTGAAATGGTTTTGTTTCTGGAAGTTCCAGGCTGGTTTAGCGGCCATTAGGATGACCTGAATTTCGGATGCTTGTTTGTCCGTTGATCTTGGATCTATAAGGAAAGGCCTTTTCCTCAGAGGTGGGGTAACCAAACTGAAGTTGGAGGTGTAGTCCTCTAGGGCTGAACAGCACACACGCACTGTCACGATCTGATGGCGCTACAACATCGACAGTTTTAAAAAGCCACTGGCCACGGCTGTGTATATCTTGTGTTCAAGAAAACAGAATTTTTCACCAAGGTTGTTCAGTTTTTTGTCAGAAAATGTAGGATTTTATTATTTGCAGCAAATAGACAAATTAGACTAATGCACATCTTTGTCCCCAGAGATACCAGAAAAACTTGTGTGGACAAATAGAACATATCAAACAGGTAGCCATGGATCTGTCTAGAAACAATTTCTGTGATCATGGCAACTAGAAAAAAAATATTGCAGCCAGATTAATTCGAAGAATGAGATTAAAATTACAACAAAACAAATGGCGAAGTTATTGCATTCATGAATGAAACCCGATTTCTTGCTTTCTTTCACTGAACTATTACAATAAACACATAGGTGCCGCCAAAAATGGGAGCCATGCGTCTGCCTAAGTGGAATATACTTGGGTGATGTTTTACTAACATGAGAGGTTCATTTCCTCTGCCTCTAAACGTTGTCTGGTGTGACGTTAATGTTCTTTGGGATAGTTTCAGATGGGTAGCCATGCTTGTCTGCCGTAGTTCCCGTAGCACCATAAAGACCAACGAGATTTCTAGGCTATAAGCTTTCAAGAGTCAAAACTCTGACGAAGGGTATTTAATGAAGGAAGCTTGAAAGCTTTTGACCTGGAAAGCTTGGAGTTCTCTCCTCCTGGACTTGAATCTTGTTCTTCAGAATGTCAGGATGTGAGGACATAAGGAAGTTCTAGTAGATGCATAGTTGCCATTTTTCGCCGCAGCTGCTCACTACTTGTAATGTCCAAAGACAGCAATAACTCCAGTTCAGTTCCTGAATGTGAAAAAACACCGAAACGGCTGAAATTATATCTCATTTCTCAGAAGCCACAGAATGACGTGTCCATTGTGTATTGTTAATAGATGTGACAGCAATAACGGCGCCTCCGACCTTTTCCGCAAAGGACTGAACCAGCATTTATCAAGGAAAGGGGCCATCACCCCACTGCCAGCAATTCCTCATTTCTGAAATCTACCACATGCGGGAAATGTTGGATGGGCAGACATTTCCATGTAGTACTCCGTTATGTAACTGAAGTGTTAGATGCCTAGATAGATGCAACTCTGTGGTGACTTAAATGGCTGAGAGGAGCAAGGAAGTGGCTGAGCCTTAGAGATGACGGGTAAATCCTAGCTCGGTCAGATCTGGAAATTCTGAATCTTGCTAGGTTAGCATAGGATGGCTAAATATAAGAGAATTCCTCCCCACCCCCAGGAGAGAGGTCTTGTGAAGCTTAGTTAAAGCACCATCTCTGTTGTCCTGACATACAGGTTTGGGGATAAAGTGATGCACTATATAGAAAGAAGTCTGACCTAATGGTTTTTCGACTTGGATGGATTTGGGGTAGAAGTTTCCCTCTGATAAGTATCTGTCGTTCCTTCCATTCTTAACTTTAAAAAAAGAGAGGAGTAAGGTGCTAAACAGAGGAATCCCACAGCTATTAAAAAAAATACTGGATATCTGGAGTTCCACCCAGTCTACTGATCCCGACTGCAGTGTTCCCTCTAAGCTGAGTTAGTGTGAGCTAGCTCACAGGTTTTTAGCCTCTGGCTCACACATTTTCGTCTCAGCTCAGGAAGGATGGCTCCAGAGCAAACTAATTTATGCAGTAGCCAAATCGCTCGCTCACCGCTTTAATGCCAGAAGCTCACAGAGTAGGATTTTTGCTCACAAGACACCACAGCTTAGAGGGAACATTAGGTTGTGTCAAAGCACAATATAATTAAAACTATTCAGACTATTTTAAAAAGCACCCAAATGAAACTCTTCGTTTCCCCAAACCATTAGACAGGACCGCACGCATACCTGGCATCACCAACTAGCCTATCTCCTCAGAGGTTTTGCAGACTACAAACGTTTGGTCGTCCTCCTAAAAGCCAGGAGGAGGATTGGTTTGGTCGGCCTCCGAGTTACACAAAAAAGGAGTGACCACTGAGAAGGCCCTGCTTTTTTTTCTTGTAACAGCCTTCCAAGCCTAAGAAATCCACAGCCCTCAGCCAGGTCTGATCTGATGCCTGAGCTCAGTTAATTAGCGCAAGGACTGAAAGTGAATCTATTTTAAGTGGTCATGATTAAAGATATTCATATGAGTACGGAAAGCTAAAGCAAGCAACTAGTGAGCTGTATAGTTACAGGCACAGAAAAGCTGTAGCCAAATCACATATGTCCTAGGAAAACAACACAAATATTATGCTCACGTAATAACAAGTGTATTGCTCCCCAAAGGTATCCTGATTCACTGAAATTCTTGAGCCTCAACAGGAAACTTGAACAAGGAAAAGTGGGGTATAAATGTCTTAATGAATTCTGATAAATAGGAGGGTGATCCAACATAGAAAACTTATTTGTGAGCCTTGGGAAGCTCCATAAGACTCCGTTTGCAGCCATCACCCCCGGCTTGTCCTCTTCCCAGCTGGGGTTCACGTAAAGGGTTGCTGCCCTGTTGTTCTCCTAAGAGCACACTTTGCATGCCAGGAAAAGGCCTGAACATCACTTTCATGCTGTAACGAGGCTGATAGGAGAGCCACATGGGGAGAAGTCTTTAAATAGAGCCCAACCTTCTGGGAGCAGCCACACCACGTGGGCAGGGTACGTGGCAAGGTGGAGGGTAGAAACGAGGCGACCCACCGTGTGTTTGCAAATACTGTGACAGCTGCAGCAGAGAAGAGCAAGAATCCAGCAGCATCTTAAAGACTAACAGAATTTTGGGCAGGGGACGAGCTTTTGTGAGGCACTGCTCACTTCTTCAGATACAGCCAACTCACGAAAACTCCTTCCCTGCTACAAATGTTGTTAGTCTTCAAGGTGCTGCTGGACTCTTGCACTTTTCTACTGCAACCGACAGGCTAACATGGCTGCCCATCTTAATCTATCTCCATGGAGTCACGGAAGATGTAATGATGAGAACCTTCCACAGCCCGTTTCATGAAATTCTCACCCCAGATCATTCCATCCAATGCACATCCGTACTCTCTCTCTCTCTCTCTCTCTCTCTCTCTCTCTCGCTCGCTCTCCATGAAAGGAGGTGATCACAAGGTATCCTTTTGTCTTTTAGAGAAATGCAAGTGATCGCAAGGTGTGCTTGTATCTCTTGGAGAAAGGCTCTTCCTTTTAAATTTTGGGCTAGATAAACTAGGTAAGTTGTTAAAGCACACCTGGATGTTGGTCTGTGTTTATGACATAAGCCCCCCACCAAAAGCTAGAACATTAGCTCCAGAACTAATAGGAAGCCTGCTCTTGAAATGTACAGATCTGGGGGAACCAGTCCGTAAAAACATGCCTTGGAATTGCCCATGAGCACTTAGTGTTGCAGGCAACCCTCCATTCACACGTGGGCTGAGGGCGGGATCCTTGATCGTTTCTCTTTAAGTGGCTGCAGTCATATGCAAATTACAAATGCAATGGGTTTTTTTAATAAAAAAAAATCCTTTTTTTATTTTCCTAAGGAAATTATAATTGATGATCATGATGGCTTTCTTCCTTCTTTGAGGTGTGGGGTTAAGGGATTGAATTGAATGAATGTAACAAAGCAAACCGGAATGCCTCTTCTCAGGGCCAGTGAGTTGCAAATAATTTTTAAATGCTTGTAATTACATCATCTCAATAAATTTTTTTAATATAAAAAGATGTCCCCTTTTTCTTGCCTATGCATAGGCAGTAGCAATCCAGAGTCCTTTCTCGTTACGTACCAAGTGATCTCCGTCCCACACACAGATGGCACACACTACCTTTGCAGCCATATTTCTCCACTCCAGTACCTGGCTTCCCCCTCTCTGTATGTGTGTATATATACTGCACACAAATACATGCAACACCTCCTTCACAATTCTGGGCAAAGCCTTAGGCTGTCCCTTCAACAAGAAAGCTGCCCAGTAGCTAAAGTTCTGGGAAAACCCTGGCCAACTCCTGAAACCTCTGCTGTGACCGTAAGCAAGTTACTCTTTCTGGGCCTCGTCTCCCCTCTGCGATAGTAAAGGTAAAGGTTCCCTTTCTCGAAAGCCAGTTGAATCCGACTCTAGGGTTGCGGTGCTCATCTCCATTTCAAAGCTGAAGAGCCAGCGCTGTCCGAAGACGTTTCCATGGTCATGTGGCCGGCATGACTAAACACCAAGGCGCACGGAATGCTGTTACCTTCCCACCGAAGTGGTACATATTTATCTACTTGCAATTTCTTGCTTTCGAACTGCTAGGTTGGCAGGAGCTGGAACTAGAGACGGGAGCTCACTCCGTCATGCGGCACCTGGGTCTCAAACTGCTGAACTACCGACCTTCCACAGCCTGCAGTTCAGCGTCTTAACCACTTGAGCCACTGTACCTGCGATACAGAGGTAATAATACTGATACACTTTCTAAGGATGACCATTCTGACATTTCAGAAAACCCACCTCAAAGCTAAATACAAGGGCAAGCAGTCGTGCCCAGAAAGAAAAGATTTCTCAGCTAGGAAACCAATAGGGCTGCCAGCCTCTGTAGGGCCTGGGGATCTCCTGGAATTACACCTCATCTCCAGACTACAGAGATCAGTCCCCCTGGAGGATATGGGTGCTTTGCAGGGTGGGCTCTGTGGCATGGTGCCTCTCTTGAGGCCCCTGTTCTCCCCCAGGCTCCACCCCCCAATCTCCAGGAATTTCCCAGCCTGGATCTGGCAACCCTAGCCCCCATCCCCCGCTGGTGGCCGGGGGGGGGGACACACCTGGCAACCCTGGAAACAGAAGGGTCAGGTGTGTATGGAGGGGGAGTGATTCCATCCTGAGCTCAGAAGTTAATTCATCTGAACAAACTACAGGCTTATCTCCTAAATTTGGGCATCACTTGAGGGTGGGATAACAGAGAGAGAGAGAGAGATCCATTCACACGCATGCCCTCATCTGGGTCACCCAGGCTAGCCCAACTTTGAAAGTTAAGCAGGTCAGCCGTGGGTAGGATTTGGATGGGAGACCTGTGAGGAACGCCAGGGTCTTGATGTGGAGGCAGGCAGTGGTAAACCACCTCTGACTTGTCACTTGCCTTGAAAACCCCACCAGGGGTCGCCATAAGTTAGCTGTGACTTGACGGCGCTTTCCACCATCGTATTCTTATGGTGATTTCCTTGACAGGATCACTGGAGGTTCCTAGTGGTCATCTGATCCCCTCTGAGTGCCAGTCTTTGAGGGAGGCATCGTTTCCAGGGCAGGGATTGTGAGTTTTCCAACACACCCAGCTGGTGTGATTGGATTCACTGGCTGGAACCTGCTTCTTCCCCAGCATGCTTGGGATTCCTTGCAGTATTTTGACCCCTTGTGGCAGAAAATGGCACTGTGCACAAAGTATTGGCATTTGGGGTTGGGACTGAGAAGAAGAGATTGGATTTATACCCCGCCCTTCACTCAGAGTCTCAGAGTGGCTTACAAACTCCTTCCCCTCCCCACAACAGACACCCTGTGAGGAAGGTGGGGCTGAGAGAGCTCTTTCAAGAACTGCTCTTTCAAGGACAGCTCTGACAGAATGATGGGTTGCCCAAGGTCATCCAGCAGCTGCATGTGGAGGAGTGAGGAAT